TTGGTGGTACACCTTCAGCTGCTAAGCATAGCTGAGTCAATTACCATAAAGATTTTTCGACCTAATCTCTGTGTTCAGAGAAAGTTTGTTAAATCTCTCTCCCTCTCTTGACCTTCGCCCTCCCCAATCCACAGTAGTTGTCTCTTTCGGTGATACCGGATAATTGTAAATAGTATCATATTATGTTTTTATTTTATTTTATTTATTTTTTTTTATTTTTATTTTGATTTACAGCTTGATTCCACACCGTATTTTCAGTACAAGTGTGGAATTTTCAGCATGGATATCGGTAGCCCAAATTCAGGCTGACCATAGATATCGGGTGTGCGCCGGCAGCGGATCGAACCCCGGACCATGTGCATGGTCGGCGAGAGTCCTAACCACTGTGCTAACTGTATCGCCAATATCATGCTGTGCTGTAGGTGTACATTTTAGTCTCGGTTTCACAATTTGTCATTATTATTTTTATATTATCTATTCTCTATATATTATTATTATTCACTACTCTCAAGTCTGTGTGGAGGTCAAAAGCACTCAGCATCAAAAATAAGATCCGGATTTTCAACTCCAATGTGAAGTCAGTCATTGCTACTATACGGATCAGAGACTTGGCGCGTCATAAAGAGCATCTCAAACAAACTGCAGACCTTCATTAACAGTTGTCTTCGCTCAATACTCAAGATCAGATGGCCAGAGAAGATCAGCAACAGGGATCTCTGGGAGCAAATCAACCAGGAACCAATTGTGAAACAAATAGGCAGGAAGAAATGGAGATGGATTGGCCATACTCTGAGGAAACCATCGAGTGACATCACTAGACAAGCCCTTGAGTGGAACCCAAAAGGGAGGCGGTGAGTTGGTCGTCAGCGTGAGGGTGACTTGGAGGAGGTGATGTGAAGAGGAGGAGAAAACGTGTGGGCAGACTTGGAGCCAGGTGAAGACTCTAGCAGAGAACCCAACGCAATGGAGACGTGGGGCTGAAGCTCTATGTTCCTCTAGGAATTAAAAGGAACGATAATAATAATTATTCCCTTGGGTTTGGAGTGGAACATAGGGCTTCAACAACACATCTCTACTTTAGTATATTTTCTGCCGTCCTCTTCAGCTGGCTAGCTCTACGACTGCCCATAATCTATCACCTCCTACTCCTCCCGCTAGCCACACGATCTCCCTCATATCACCCTCATACCCACGACCCACTCGTCTCTTCTCACTCGGATTCCACTCGAGTGATGGCCTGCATTATCCACGATGTCATTCGACAGCCTCTTCAACGTATGTATAGCCGATCAATCCATCTCCATTTTTTCTCCTACGCATTTGTTGAGCGGTAGCAGGGGTGCCTATTTTTAAGGGTTGGGGTTTGCTAGCCAACCTCATGCCCAACCTTCCCTTTTTACCACGCTTATTACTGGCTAAACGAGGTAGAGGAGTGCGTCGGCGGCCAGGGATCGAACTCTGAACCACATGAGGCGTGGCTGGGGAACATCCTACCGCTGTGCCACCGACACACAAGTAATATAGTATGCGTGGGAAAAAAGCATACCAGTATATCCCCACCATGCATTTGAAGAGTCCAAAGAGGGATGAAACTAGTTAAACATTTCTTATATATACTTTTTTTACCTAATCAATGCATTATTCATTTCAGAAAATAAAATCAAGCTAACAGTCACCAGGACTCTGCAAGAACTGGTGAGGAATCATGCTCCTGTCGACGCCAAGTAAAATCCTGAGTCGCATCATCCTGGAGAGAATAAAGGACACACTGAATGCAGAATTCTGACCAGAACAAGCTGGATTCAAGAAACGCAAATCATGTTCTAACCAAATCGCAACTCTATCCATAATCATCGAACAGAGCATGGAATGGCAATCAAATCTCTACCTCAACTTTGAGGTAGACTTTGAGAAGGCCTTCGACAGGGTTCACCAAGATGTAATTTGGAAACTACTCGAGTACTACGGCGTACCCCAAATATTCCTCAACCTTATTCCACAGCTGTACGGCAGCGGCACATGTCAAGTCATCCACAACGGAAAACTCAGCGAGGCGTTTGGAATAAACCCAGGAGTCACACAAGAGTGCTTATTATCACCAATGATATTCCTAATTGTCGTGGACTGGATTATGCGTCAGACAGTGGGAAACGAGAACACAGGGATATCCTGGACCACCGACGTGGAGAACCTAGAAGACATGGATTTCGCGCGTGGCTGATTTATGTTTGATGTCACACAAAATCGAAGACTTACAAGCGAAAACCGACAAACTGCTTGGTCGAAGAAGCAGCAAAGACATGACTCCATGTGAACATAAACAAGATGGAGGTTATGAAAATAACCAACCAACAACCACAACAACAGCAGCAACATCCACCGACAATCACCATCAACGGGAGGGATTTGAAAGAGGTTACTTCTTTCACTTATCTAGGGAGCATTGTCTCAACTACAGGCAGGTGGAACGGACGAGGGAGGATGTCAAATCGAGAATCGGGAAGGCGAGAAACACATTCATCAACCTGAAACCAATCTGGAAATCTTCGACACTCTGCCTGCATCAACAACAAAATTCGGATTTTCAATACAAACATCAAGTCAGTCAGTTCTTTTCTATACAGATCAGAAACTTGGTGGGTCACAAAGAATATTTCCCACAGCCTGTTGCAGACCTTTATCAACAACAACTGTTTTCGCTCTACACACTGAAGATCAGATGGCTGGAAAGAATCACCAACAAGAAACTATGGGAAGAAAGAAAACAAGAACCAATCGCCCAACAAATATGCAGGAGAAAGTGGAGATGGATTGGAGACTCGCTGAGGAGGCCGTTGGGTGACATCGCGCGTCAGGCCAACGCTCGAGTGGAACCTGAAAGGGAAGCGGAGAGTGGTTCGTCGTTGCAAGGGTGACATGGTGGAGATCTTGTGAAGAAGAGCTGAAACAGTATGGACTAACATGGATGCAAGTGAAAAGTACAGCAGAAGGCAGAAGCAAGTGGAGACGTGCAGTTGAAGCTCTATGTTCCACTAGGAACCCAAGGGAACAATAATATATATATATATATGTGCTTATGCTGTAAAACTTCATACTAGCAAGCATGTGGCTACTTATAAGTAGTATAATGCGATAGTGAAATACATGTGTTTCATGTAATTCTAGTTCACGCATAATTAATTAGAAGTTACATATTGTCACTCCTAGTGGATACAGGGCACAAGATTGACAAAAATTCAGCTCTCAACCATCCTTTACAGGGTTCCACCTCAACCCCCTAGGTTGGTGGTACACCTTCAGCTGCTAAGCATAGCTGAGTCAATTACCATAAAGATTTTTCGACCTAATCTCTGTGTTCAGAGAAAGTTTGTTAAATCTCTCTCCCTCTCTTGACCTTCGCCCTCCCCAATCCACAGTAGTTGTCTCTTTCGGTGATACCGGATAATTGTAAATAGTATCATATTATGTTTTTATTTTATTTTATTTATTTTTTTTTATTTTTATTTTGATTTACAGCTTGATTCCACACCGTATTTTCAGTACAAGTGTGGAATTTTCAGCATGGATATCGGTAGCCCAAATTCAGGCTGACCATAGATATCGGGTGTGCGCCGGCAGCGGATCGAACCCCGGACCATGTGCATGGTCGGCGAGAGTCCTAACCACTGTGCTAACTGTATCGCCAATATCATGCTGTGCTGTAGGTGTACATTTTAGTCTCGGTTTCACAATTTGTCATTATTATTTTTATATTATCTATTCTCTATATATTATTATTATTCACTACTCTCAAGTCTGTGTGGAGGTCAAAAGCACTCAGCATCAAAAATAAGATCCGGATTTTCAACTCCAATGTGAAGTCAGTCATTGCTACTATACGGATCAGAGACTTGGCGCGTCATAAGGAGCATCTCAAACAAACTGCAGACCTTCATTAACAGTTGTCTTCGCTCAATACTCAAGATCAGATGGCCAGAGAAGATCAGCAACAGGGATCTCTGGGAGCAAACCAATCAGGAACCAATTGTGAAACAAATAGGCAGGAAGAAATGGAGATGGATTGGCCATACTCTGAGGAAACCATCGAGTGACATCACTAGACAAGCCCTTGAGTGGAACCCAAAAGGGAGGCGGTGAGTTGGTCGTCAGCGTGAGGGTGACTTGGAGGAGGTGATGTGAAGAGGAGGAGAAAACGTGTGGGCAGACTTGGAGCCAGGTGAAGACTCTAGCAGAGAACCCAACGCAATGGAGACGTGGGGCTGAAGCTCTATGTTCCTCTAGGAATTAAAAGGAACGATAATAATAATTATTCCCTTGGGTTTGGAGTGGAACATAGGGCTTCAACAACACATCTCTACTTTAGTATATTTTCTGCCGTCCTCTTCAGCTGGCTAGCTCTACGACTGCCCATAATCTATCACCTCCTACTCCTCCCGCTAGCCACACGATCTCCCTCATATCACCCTCATACCCACGACCCACTCGTCTCTTCTCACTCGGATTCCACTCGAGTGATGGCCTGCATTATCCACGATGTCATTCGACAGCCTCTTCAACGTATGTATAGCCGATCAATCCATCTCCATTTTTTCTCCTACGCATTTGTTGAGCGGTAGCAGGGGTGCCTATTTTTAAGGGTTGGGGTTTGCTAGCCAACCTCATGCCCAACCTTCCCTTTTTACCAGTCTTATTACTGGCTTAGTCATGTAAGGGAGTGCTTCGGTAGCCAGGGATCGAACCCTGAACCACATGAGGCGTGATTGCCTAGCATTCTACCGCTGTGCCACCAACGCATCAATAACATAGTATGCGTGGGGAAAAAGCATACCAGTGTATCCCTACCATGTGTCTGAAGAGTCCAGTGTGGGGTGAAACCAGTTAAACATTTTTATTTACATTTTACCTAATCAATGCATTATTCATTTCACCCTCAGTTAATGCATATAATCAATCAATAAACGGCGCGCGCGCGCGCGTGTGTATACCAAAATTCAACTCACCTTTCACTCTTGTCTTTGAAGCAGTCACTGGAAGTAGAAATGTCTTACGTCTTGTTAAATATATCAACACCATAATAGCGACTAAAAGAATAATGAATACAATAACAAGACAAACAATTGCCACTTCACTGATAACAAAACTATGATTATTATTATTATGATTATTGTTATGATTCAACGACAGTCCATTGCCATGACTTAAAAAACTTCCATCATTTCCCGGTTGAATTAAACCTGTTTTATGCTCAAATAATTGTTGATGATGAAGTTGACCAAATTGATTATGCCCTTGGCGATCGTGTTGTCGATTATAACCAGAGGATTTAACATTCCAAATATTTTTATATTGTGCTGATTTCATGGGGTAAGAAGTTTTGCCTTCGGTATCACTAATAAAGCCATCGTCTTCATGAAAGCGTATATGGTTTTGTTTGTTTAAACCAGCATTATTATTATTGTTATTATTGTTGTTGCTGTTTAAATTTGAATTAAGATAACCAGAAAGTAAAGCTGTTTTAGCCTGTTCAATATGTTCAATAGATTGATCGATTGAATATGCCGGTTGATTTAATTTATCAGCAGTGTTGATTAATGATGGATTTAAATAATTCGTTAAATGGGATAGTTGTGCAAGATGTGGAAATTCATTCGGATCGATAACCAATTGTACCCAGATAGGTAGTGCACAACGTTTTGGTCGGCCACGATCACATGCCTCGAAACGTAGCATATACATGATTGGATTAGATGGAGTAAGAGAATTCTGCTTTGTTTGTGTATTTTTTGTTGGTGAAGATTCTGCTGATTGTTCTGCTGAGGTGGTATACAAGTTTGAAGAGAGGGAAAGTATTCCTGTGTCTGGATTAAGGACAAATAGATTGTCTGTATTTCCAGCGCTAATTTCATATGTGATTTTACCATTGTCTCCAGCATCGGCATCTATGGCCTCGATTTGAAGTAGCGGTCTTGAGTCACCATCCATATGAGAAGCTTTAGATAATAGATAAAAAAGAAAATATGAAGGGAGGATGCCACTGACAAGTAGGCATGTTAAGTGGTTTAACTTTCTGAAGGGGTTTTTACTTCTTATCCAAACAGAACTTACTGTTTTTGATTGTGGTTGTGTTCTCTCAGCTGGATAGTTAATTTGCGAAGCTTTCATCGCCCTACTAGGCAGGCAGCATCTTCAGCGCATACTTTAGTTTGAATTGAAGTGAGCTTTTAGATTTCTCCATGAGTTTATTAATCGTCTCTCCTTGGTTGGACGTGATTGGTTGTTTTGTGTTTTTTCACACCCTCTAGGCTACTTGTATTGGGACTGAACAATCAGTTTGGATACGTTATTTAGACGACACATTTGTAATAATCAAAAGAAACGAGTTGGATAAAACTCACAACTTAATAAACAACGTCTTCAATGACATCAAATTCACAAGAGGAGAGGAATCCGAGAACAAAATCCCATTTTTGGACGTCTTAGTCAAGCGAACAATCACAGGGGAATTAGAAACTCAAGTTTATAGAAGATCAACTCCCTCAGACCAAATACTGAATTACAACAGCAACAATCCAATTACACACAAAAGGAATTGCACACATGCATTATTCAAGAGGGCCAGGACTCATTGCAGCACTCCCACCTTAAGGAAAATTGAAGGGAGATATCTCATGGACGTCTTCCAAAAGAATGGATGGATATCCATAGAATTTCATCAAAAGACATATACCCCCAAGCCAACCTATCAAACCAAAAGCCCCCAAGGAAAGCACAAAGAAAGTCGCCCTACCATATATAAAGGATATATCAGAAATCACTGCAACACTCTTCAAAGCTTTAGGAATTGACATCGCACACAAACCAACAAGAATCACTTCAATTAGCTGGCTCTGTGTCAACCAAAAGACTCAACAGCGAAAGAAGATAAAACCAACATTGTCTACAAAATTAATTGTAACAACTGCGAAAGAAACACTACATTGGCCAAAGTGGTGGAGGACGTCCCCTTCGTTTTCATATCCACGAACATAAGCTAGCCGTCAAAAGACATGACATACACTCCCTCATATCACTACATACAGACAACCACAGGCATTAATTCGATTGGGACAACCAGTGTTCAAATATTAGACAGGGGAAACACGAAGAATGCTAGAGAATTTTTAGAAGCTTGGCATTCCAGTGAATCATCAATCAATAGACACATCAAGATAGACAAAATTCACCAATCGATAAGAAGGAAATCTCATACACACACAAGGGGTCAAAGTTCAAGTCAAAGAAACAATCAGTTCCGACACAAGTAACCTAGAAGGTGTGAAAACACACAAAAACAACCAATCACGTTCAAGGTCACCGACCAAGAGAGATGATTAATAAACTCGTGGAGAAATCTCAAAGCTCACTTCAACGAATTGAAGTATGCGCTGAAGATGTCGCCTAGTAGGGCGACGAAAGCTTCGCAAATTAACTATTCAGCTGAGAGAACACAACCACATCAAAATCATCCACCTGAGCTACAAATCTTCTCCATCATATCTAGAACTTACTGTCGAAGAAGGCATGGGTGACAAATTTCTTATGTAACCCTTCGCTACGTATTCATAGTGTATAAAAGGAAGCGGAAAACCACTAGGTTTACAAACGTTTAAACCGGAAAATCGAATGCTGCTATCATAGGTTCGTGTCTACTTTATAGCTCCTACATGGTGGACCAAGGATTGTTTTGTTACCATCAAGGAACAATCTCATTGACTTAATATACGCATGATATAGTCCTCCCTCATAGGTGAAGATGTTGACAAATACAGCAGAATCTTCTGAACACCTTGAGCAGCAGTTTGCGAATATTTGGGATGCGATGCTCTCATGTCAAATGTAAGATGATGAGGCTACAGGAGTGGAATGGGAGACATCAACTCACTCCTAGCTTAAAGGCGGACGGGAGTGAAGTGGTTGGTGGGGCGTGCTGACCACTTCACTTATTGGGAGAGTTACATCAGCCAGCCCAACGGGTTAATCTCTGACGAAATCTCAGTACGGATAAAGAAGGCTTGTTTGGCATATGTCTGCCAACTCACGCCATCTCTGGCTGTCGATCAAAAAGCGTTTATACTGCTCAACAGTTCGCTCCATCCTCCTTTATGGTTGTGAGACATGGCCATTGAAGGTGGAGGACGTGAAAAGCCTGGTTAGCTGTCTTTGATCATAGATGTCTGCCTTCTGTCTCCTGTGTTGGAGAGGGGGTATAATAAGGTGAGCAGTATTGACATTAGGCTTCGGTCGAGTGCAGTGCTAGCACTGACTTCACATTGGATTTGAAAATCCGAATCTTACTTTCATTTTCATGCTGAGTGCTGTTGACCTCCACACAGACTTGAGATCAATGAAAGCTTGCTTGCCTTGCTTTCTCGATCCTCGCTGCTGTGATATCCTCATCAGTCCTGCCCGCCTGAAGTTGAAACGATGCTTCCCAGGTAGGTAGGTAGGTAGGTAGGTAGGTAGGTAGGTAGGTAAATGCGGTTGCTTCTTTCAGATCTCTCCCACTTATGCTGATTGTTTTCTGTCGTTACTGCTGTTGGCCAGGAATCTTCATCGCCTCTGTTTCCTCTCATAGATAAGATCATGATATCATAGAAACACTGTGGTTCAGTGGTTCCCTGTTAGAATGATCACCAATCACTCATTTGATCCGGAGTTCGATTTCTGACCGATTGAGGCACTCCTAAACACTACCTAACCGACAGTTAGGCCAATAGATAGGGAACCTTGAGCGTGAGGCTAGAAGCCCCCCTCCAACCTCCAACTACTGAAACATTTAACCTCAACCTTGAAGCTCTGTGTTCTCGTTCGAAACCCAAAAAAAACTAAAGAAAAGCATGAAGAGACAGGCCAACATCTCCAACTTGTTTTTGGTTAATGAGATAAGTAGCCTGGGGAATTCTTAAGGCCACTTCACAAAACCAACCATTCTATGTTGCTTCCATTTCTCAACTTTCTTCATTTCCTAAGAAAATGTCATCGAGAGACTCATATCAATACATACATACATGCATGCATAGAGACTTCATTTTTCCTTGTCAAACGTTAAACAAAGTTTATTTTTCGTTTTTGGCGGGGTGGAGTGTGTGTGTGTGTGGGGGGGGGTGATAAACTGACAACTGTCAATACTCTTTGGTTAGTCGAATTTATTTTGACAACATTATATCTTCAACACTGGTTACAAACTGAATTGTCATCTTAGTGCCAAAGACAGTCCGTAAAAATGTGTATTTCAATGTCGGTGATATGACAATCCTGCCGTGAGAACTGACATTCAGTCTATACAAATGATAATGATAGTGGTGATGACAATAACTGTTTAAATAATGACAACATTTTCACATACTTCTAGTTTCTTATGTAATTATTAAATGATATCACTTCTGTTACATATTTTGATATTTACGCAAAACAATTTAAGAAAGATAAGGTTTTTAAAACGCTTATATTCTATGAAATAAACTTTGTGAAGTACGCTGATGACTTAACAGTTTCAATGGTTGTTAACTCCCAGCTAGATTGTACCAAAACAAATAGCTTTCTCTCGGGAGTCAGTAAATGGCCTGAGTCTAACGGTCTTAAACTGAATCCATGAACTAAATGTCAAACTGTTAATTTCAGCTTAAGATGTAAATGACAGTTAAAAGAAGTCGTCAATTCTCATGACAGTTGTAAGATTGACGACAGTGATACAGGAATTAAATCAGAAATTAAGTATCTTGGATTAATTGTCTCTTCTGATCTCTCTTGGTCTTCCCATGTCTTAGCGATCTCCAGTAAAATATTCCGCTTGACATTTTACATTGAGAAGTTAAGGCACTAGGGTGTAACTCAAACCCTCCTCTTACAGTTCATAAACTCTTGCATCCTACCTATTCTTCTTTATTGTTCACCCGTGCTTATTCTTTCCTGGTTTGCTTAAAAAGGACTATGTCACAATTCGTAGAATGCTGAAGACTGTCAGTAGGGTGAGTGGTGTCCCAGTGGACTACATAGTTAACGTCGTTGTCGATAGGCACTTGACTTCGTGCAGTAAATTTGCTAAAGGGATTTTTTTGTCTGACTTGGAGCATTCACTTCACCCTCAGCTTTCACCTTGCATCTCCTCAGGCAGAACAAGTAACTTCAGAAAACTGTGTGCTCGCATGTCGAAGTATAAAAATTCTATGATACCATACTTAGCACGTATTTTGTGTGATGAAAATAGCGTCGGGCAAGAATTGACTGACCTTTTTTCATCCAGTAAATAAACAATTTCTTCCATCTATCCCTATATACCTTCAAGTTTTACTTTTATTATTTCTATTATATTTATGTTCCTGTTGATTCTTTGTTTTCACTTCCATAACTGCAAACACCAACTTATCTCTATGACTGCTGTAATCTTTGTTTTTTCCCTCACCATATCATGTAAAGAGAACATTATATTCAATATTTTTTAATCATGCAAGGATTTGTATACCGCATCGACAATACTGTGTGAAACAAGCCCACGGCAATTTCCACTTGTATTATTGTTATTATTACCTTAGCTGTTATCACTAATATCATTTCCATTTTATATGTTGCATGTTTTAGAAATTACCCCTATTGTAAATGTGGAAAATTTTCTGTGTGATTAATTTTATCTATAATTTGAGGAAATCAGCTACAAGATATTGTGATTAGTGCTGAAAATTCCATTCTGTATCACAAGTACTGTTTTTGGAATAAAGTAAATCATTATTATTATTATTGTTCATTTAAATCTTAATGCTAATGGCCATTGAACATTGAATGAAAGTGTGTGTGTGTGCGCGTGTACGCGCGCGGATTTCAAATTTTTGTCGGATTTATGATATTATTATTCCCTTGGATTCCATTTAGAATTTGGACTATAGGGTGTATATCTCTGCTGTGCTCTGTTACCTTCAGTCTTTTTCAGATCGCTGAAGGATTGGCCAGAAGCTTTCATTTCCTCCTAGCAGGATCTCCACAATGTCAAACTAGGATATCCAACCTGTCGTTTCTCATTCAGATTATATTTGAGAGTCTGTTGTATGATGTAATTCAGTGTGTATCCAATCCATTTCCATTTCTTTCTGCGTATTTATCCGGGAATAGATTTTGGATTGATCTGACACCTAATCGGAGTTCCTTCTTCATTATCCTGTCTGGCCTACCGTTCATCTGGTCGTGTTTATTATTTTATTTTTTTTCCTTCACGTTCCAAGCGGAACGTAGGGCCTCAATCTAGAGCTCTGTAGTTTCGGAAGAAGTGGTGTTTATTATTACGGGGTGGGGTTGCTAGTCTCAGGTCCAGCCTGAACTATTCGGGCTAGCGATCGACATCGTTTAAGACTGTATTGGATACTTTGATTGGACACTAGTGAGTGACTAGTGTAGATCCTAGGCTTCCTGTCGATTGCCTCCGACCTTCTAATATCAACAGTTCAAAGTGTCCCATGATGTAGAGCCACCTAGAATCAGGTACCAACATCACGAGTTTCTTCTCTACGTTCACATGATTTCCCGTCTTCGCTAACTACCTCTCGTGCCAACTTGTTGGTCCTCACCGTTAGATCTTCGAGTTTGTGTGGTATTTAGATATAAATAATCCATGAAGTCCGGATACTCCAGCATTTTCTTATCAGCTTGACGTATGCCTATCTTCCCACTTCCCACTGTCTGCTGCATGATTCGTGCCTTCACCATCAGGAATGTCATCGGTGATAGTAGGCGGCCTTATCTTCACTTCAGACGCCTTACTCAGTTTCCCGTTGCTAAAATCTTTTGGCATGTGGCGTCATCGTATAGCTGCTGAATAAGGTTTATTCCGGTTTCTAAATTACTCAAGGGTCGAGGCTAGTGACAGGAAGGGCTTTATCAAAATCAATGAACACAAAATAATCGAGCAAAGAATATCCTTTTCGATAAACTCCTTTTCTTCTGGCTCTACAATTATATATGCATGTTTATATACATAGAATATACTAGATTAGGCAATACCAATATTGGCGTGTTTTTTAAATAATATCGATGTGTTAAGTAAGATTACAATGGAATTACAGTTCATTAAAGACGCTTAAGTTATAATAATAATAATAATAATAATAATGAAGATATAATAGCAAATGGAATATCAAATAAAATAAGGAAAATTCCACAAAATTCAGGATCATTCAAACCTAGATGGCCAAGGTAAGGATAATGTCTGAACTAACTTCTTTTGGATGCACAAGTTAGGCTTGTTAATATGGATCCCAACAGCCAGCCTCAGCAATATTTAGTAGTCGAACTCTTAGGGCAAAATTGAGATTCATAGGTATGCGGTAAATGACCCTGAAAGCATGGTTAACGTCAATCTTGTGTTCTGTATCCACAAGATGAGATAGAATAGCGCTGCGAATAGATTTTGTTTGTCCTTTGCTTAACCAGGCAGGGTGATGTTCGGAAATTCGACGAGAAACACGCCTAATTGTACGGCCTATGCAACTAACTGGCTCCACAGGAGCAGTTAAATTGGTATATACTCATGGAAGAGGCGAAATTAGGCAGTTTGTCTTTTATTCCCGAAAGAACGCAAAAGAGGAGTGGTTCTGAAGACACAGCGTAATTCAGCGGCAGCAGGGAATGCTCTTTTTACCGCCGCATTTCTAAGGCTCTGTGTTAGTATCTCGCTGATGTTGTCCCTTAGGAACTGCATCTGTAACAACAAGGCCTTTTTGAAATTGTTGGTAACTTCGGCTGTTTTGGTTTCAGATTGATATTCTTACCAATAAACTTTTCGGAATAACCATTCTCACTTAGCAACCATTTAATATTGTTAAGTTCCTCATCAAGACATTCACCCGAGCAAATCTCTCTTGCTCTGTGGACCAAGCACTTTATTAGATTGCGTTTGTATTTCAAGGGTACAACGCTGAGAAAATGTGTGTACTGGTCCGTTGATGTAGGTTTTCTATAAACACTTCTTCTTATTGTGCCGTCCTCTTTTCTGGTCATAAGGACGTCTAAAAATGAAATAGTAGAGTCTTTTTCTTTCTCAATAGTAAAATTTATTGCAGGATGTACCTCATCAAATTTATCCAGGATGTTCTTTGCTTCCTTTTCGTTCTTCATTATCAAAAAATTGTCGTCCATGTATCGACAATAAAATTCGAGTTGATTAATAACATCTTCCAAAGGCCCATTTTCTAGTTTTGCAAGGAAAATGTCGGCTAGAATTGGTCCTAGTGGCGACCCCATTGCCACACCGTCGATTTGTCTATACAGTTGCTTATTAAATAAAAAGTGGACATTCATTGTACACTTCAAGAGAAGCTCCTTCATTAAAGATATAGGTAAACCAACATCGATGTTTCGTCTTTTGAGTTCTTCACATATAAAGTCCACTGTTTCCATGAGAGGTACATTGGTGAATAAAGAAGATACGTCAAATGATATCATGAATTTATTATCAACATTTAAATCTCTTATTCTTTCAACGAATCCAAAAGTATCCTTTACCCTATGTTTCACCACCTCAGTTTGAAGGGGCTGTAAGAGTTCAACTAACCATTTGGCTACCGGATGGTATGGTGAATTTAGCATATCTAATACTGGTCGTAGCGGTAGACCATTTTTGTGCACTTTAGGCGAGCCATATAGTCTTGGTGTGAACGTTCCGGTGGGCTTAAGTGATGAAGTTTGGTAACCAATCACACAGTACAAATATACTACTCTATACTATCTTGTTGTCTACTTAAAAACCATTTAAGTAGCATAATTATCCACAAACTATTACAATTTAATTAATTAATTAATTGGAATATCGAACATAATAGGTACATAAGTGTATCAATAAATCATTATATTGATTAGTAAATTGAATTACCTTCATTCCTATTGAAATCGTCATCATCATTGTTATTAATATTATTATTGCCCCTTCTGTGTACCAATACAACAGGTATATTCGCTTTATCATTATTGTTATGACTAATTTGTTGTGCAACTGGTTTCAATAAATTATTGTTATTATTATGATTGATTTGTTTTAATCTATCATTTTTACCATCATCCATAGAAGTTGGAAAAGCGGGCCAATTCAATTTGGCGCCATTTTGTTTCTCTTGTAAATTATTTGAAATTGTTTGGTGAATTATTGATTGTGGTGGACTATGCTTTGACATATCGGTATTCGATTGACGCTGCGATGACGATGAGGATGCAGGCAAACTGGCAGTAGCAGGTCTAATGAAAACAGGATCATTGTCATTCTCATCCTTGAATTTATTGATAATTTTTGTCCAAAATATCATCATCGGAAAAGAGAGGGAGAAAAAGCAAGGTTAAAATTTAATTTCTTTTACGTGAGTGATATCTTAAAAGGTGCATTAAAACGTTCACCCTTCGCCTACTTTTACTTGTGAAGAGGAGCAGGAGAATAAACTACACTTTCTGGATGTCTTGTTAAGTAGGCGAGAAGATGGGTCATTTGGGAAGGCACAATCATAGGGCAATACACACACTTCCTTAGTTACGTGCCCATTAAATATAAAAGAAATGTTGTTAAAGGTCATACGAGTAGAGCAAGAAAGATATGTACGGATGACCTCTTACAAAAGGAGTTTGAATATATTCACGATTCCTTGATGGAGATGGGCTATCCGAGTAGTTTCATAAAAAAACATATGAAAACACTGGAGAGAAAACCTGAGACTCTGACTGCACGTAAAAAACCTCTATTTATTAAGTTACAATTTAATGGTGACTTATCAAGTGAGATTCTATTCCAAAGACTTTCAAGGAGTATACGAAGAACATTTTACGCAGCACACCTATGTTTGTCATTCTCTAGCCGACGAATGATTGGGACGCAAACGAAGGATAAGCTTGATAGTTTTGCCACATGTATATGCATTTATCAATTCAACTTCACCTGCGATGACAGTTATGTTGAGCGTACTACTAGTCAGCTTAGCCAAAGTGTTAGTGAACATCTCCCATCGTGGTTTGATAAAGGACAGACAAAAACAATCCGTAGCTCAATTTTGTCACATTTAATTGATAGTGGTCATGTAGTAGAGAAAACGAGAGCCTTCAAAGCAATTCATCGTATCCCACCGAATCTTTCCAATAGACTTCGTATTCGTCTACTACACGCTTACAGCTGAGGTGATAGGCATTCGAACTATTAAACCTAAACTATGCTCATTCAACAGAAGTTCGTACAGCCATTATCCCTCCCTTGGCCAATTAAGACATAACCAACTGATGACTTCTACAACACCCCTTGTTTATATTTCCAACCGCTTTCTTATCATCCCTTAATCTTATCACATCTTCATTATAAAAGTGTCTCATTTACTTCCCTTGCAATCTAACATTAATTAATCGGTGCATTTGTTTTTACTAGCCTTTATCGAATACCACGTCTACCTGGACATTTGTTTGTTTAATCATGCTGTGTTTCATTATTCGTGTTATCATAGATTGCCTCACTTTTTCATCCTTATTATTGATAAGACCATTTTTATTATTACTATTATTATTATTATCATTACTACTATTATGATTAATTGCACAATTTATATTTACCATCTTATTATCTTATAGACAAAACACCGTGATTGGTTTATATTTGAATTTTTATTTGTAAACTTATGTAGGTATATTAGAGTTAAGCCTGATGATGAGATCTAATTGAAAGCACAATATTCTTCGCTCAAATGTGTTGTTCTAAAACCAAAGCAACCATCTTTTGATCAGCCCAGACACTGACGTTGAGAAACTAATCAAGATTAAGGAGTAAGAAGAGATGCAGGTGGTATGGATTATTACCGTGAAATCAGTGCGGAAACTGGATCCACTCAGCATAAGGGAAAAGTTCCTGATCTTTAACGCTAATGTCAAGCCAGTTCTTCCATATGGTTCGCTAACTTTGCGCCTTATACGGATATCTTTGCTAACAACCTGCATCACACTTTTATCAAAGACGCCTATGCTGGTTCCATACTGAAGATCAAATAGCTTGTCACAAAGGATTAGCAACAGGGAACTCTGTGAACGAACAAACCAAAAATCTATCGCTCAGCAAATAAACCGAAGATTGTTGAGTGACACTGCGAGCCAGACTGTCGCTTGAATGGAACCTGAATGGGAAACGACGAATAGGGCTTGGATCCAAGGGTAACGCAGGAGATATTGCGTGAGGAGGAAGTGAAAACTTGTGGATAGTCTCAGGGTTAGCTGAGAAATACTGCGGAGAATTGACTGAAATGAAGATGTGCCACCGAAGTCTTCTGATTTTGCTCCTTAATCTACCCAAAAATTCCAATTTTCCCTAAAAGATCATTTACCTTATCAAGCTTCCTATGGTTATGCTTATTCACAGAGTCATCAAAGGCTCGGTGTTTCTGGAACATTTTAAGCAATCACGACGGAAGGCATAATATGATTTGTTTATTCAGCATTGGCTGTTGAAGATCATGTACTGGACGTCGTCGTCTTAAATAAATAAACACATAGTCTAATGTAGAGTAACGTATATTACGTCACCACCAATTAACATCATTTAGGGAGTCACTGAAAACCTAAGAACACTGGATAACTGTTTCGTCCCAGTCTGGGACTCTTCAACAATTTTCAAAGACAGCCCTAACATGGATTAAACTCAAGACACCCACGATATGAGGCCGAGGGTTTCAGTGACTTTCAATACGATAACTTTTTCTTTTTCAATGCCTATAAATCAACATTTAAAAATTTCCCATCGCTTGACCTACTTATAAAACCTCATCGTCTCATCATATTTTCCTTTAGAAATATTCACATGCAATGAGGCACTATTCCTATTTATTCTATTGGAAACATGGAAATCATTTGCACAGAAATAAAAAAATTATTCCAACAGATGTTTTTTCCATAAATCGTGAAGATTTCTCATAAATTATTATGAGAAAAACAAAGCTGCATACATATATATTTTTACAGGTGTTCACACAAATAATAAGCAAGTTTGGGATATGCGTATACACACATATATATCAATTATTTTGTTTAAACCAATTATTTCAATGTAGCAAGAATATGGCGGGAAATTTAAAATTACGCATAACACGAAAAAATAGAATGATGAAAGATGTGTAATACTAACACAAATAGTAATAATAATAATAATAGTAAGGACTTTTGATGAAATAGTGAAACATCTGAATGTCTTACAAAAGAGGAAGATATTAGTGTACATCTGTTGGATAAGTAAATTTAAGTAAATCTCAGACAAAAAAAAATCATTTTTAGATTTAAAGCAAATTATATTTTTCAAATGTTTTTTAAACAAGAATGATGGTTGCTGTTGATGACTCAGAGGTATACGGCTGATTTATGTAAACTAATCGTATTAAACTCTCTTAATTGAGTAGGAAAATTTTAAAACACAATTGACCATTGTTCAGTTACATCATGAGTTCTATTGTCTAACACAGTAAATTCCAAGGCAAAATATATAAAAAAACAGAAGGTGTAGCAATGGAATGGATCACCAATATCCCCTATCGTAGCAGATATCTTTATGGACAGATGGGAAAATAGTGCTCTTAATACATTCACCTAATCCTATTCCAAAAATATGGTGGAGATATGTGGATGACACTTTCACACATTGGGTTAAAAACAGAACATATCTCTCTCTAGCTTCTTGACACATATAAACTCACGAGTAAAGGGAATAAAATTCCCATTTTAATCGGAAAATGAACAAGGAGAATCAGCTGTGATGTTAGATTGTAAAATCAAACGAATAGAAGAAGGCAAACTACACACTAGCGTTTATAAAAAACCAACGCATTCCGCTAACAGATATTTAGACTTTAATTCATCTCATCCGTTGTCTGTACAGGCTGGCTTAGTTAAGTGTCTAACAAACCGAGCAGTAACATTAAGTAGCACAAAAAAGACCTACATGATGAAATGAAACAGTTAGAAGAGGCTTTGGTATTGAATAACTATCCTATAAAAATCATTAGGAACTTCGAAAAAGGACAAAAGCAAATTAAAAATAATGGTGAAACTAGTAATGATAACATAAATAAGAGAGAATATAAGGCGTCTACTGTTATACCACTTAAGGAGGGGACATCTGAGACCCTACGTAGGATTCTTACTTAATAAACCAGGATTTAGGGTGGCATTCAAACCTATAAACTGACTCAGAGACAAGCTCTGTAGGCTAAAAGACCCGGTGGACCCAATTCAACTAAATAATATAATTTACAAAACACTTTGCAATGACTGTTAGTTGCTTCAACTACATAGGTCAAACTAGTAGATCGGGGGTAATCAGATTGTCGGAACATAAGAATTTAGCTAAAGTAAGAATGGTTGACCCCAAGAAGATAAGTAATTTAGAAAAAAGCTCAGCAATTGCCCTCCACACATTAACACACACCACACAATAGGGTGGGTGGGACAGAGTCAAAATTCCAAGAAGTAATATAGGTATGTGGAGATAGAGAGAGGTTGATTACTGAATCCTTGTTCATTGAGTCTACACCCAATACAACACATGCAACAGAAGCGACTCAATGCAAATACCAGAGATATGCATGGAAGATATTATTACCACCAGTCAGTCAGTCAAATCAGAGGAGGATAATAAATAATCTCCAAATTCTATTTCAGTTCAATTCACATACACATTCTAACATTCTAACAAGTAACTTATTTTGACTATAAAAACACTCGTCTTATTTCCCATCTGATTGTATTTGATTGATGACAATCGTATTATTATTTCTGAATGTACATTATCTCATATTGAATTTTATTCAAATGTCTAATCATCAGTTTTCACTCATGTATATAAATGAAGCAAGAAAGTTGTGTGATTGAGTGCCTTGATATGATTATGAGTAACAATAATAATTTGTGCTCGAAACGTGGTTATCAGTTAATATTACTTACTGTATAACAACACTGTGTGATTTATCAAAATAAAATCCTAATCTAAATGTTTCTCTTTACAGTTGTTTGACGGTATTAAAAATGTGTTGTTTTACACGACTGTGATTTTGTTTCAGTGAGTTAAGATCACTCTGGGGGAATTGTTTGTTTAATGCGTGATTCGTTGTTGATAGAGTTTTGATCCCATCTTGTTGGGAATATATACTAATTCAAGAAAGTACTGGACCTGTAAAGCTGCCTTACGGCATTGTTGAGGTACTTTTGAGTTTTGACCTATTATGACTGTTGAGTAGAATATCGCAGATTTTATTGCAAATAA